ATGACCGACATGGTATTTTCAATTGACCAGCACTGACCAGTGAACCATTTTTTTCTTTACGTTTCCTCATTCTTTTATAAAGCTAAGCATTTACTTCCCCTGTGATTTTTGTGGGAATTATCTGATGTTTGGCTGGCGGTATAGACAAGCAGGACCTCCGGGAGTCCCGTTTGGTCAGTTTTGACCATCTTTGGTCACCCTCTGGGCCCTCCGGACACGGTGAAGCTATCGGTTATATATTTTAAATTGTCGCCTAACATTTCTTCTTTGAAATAAAACAATTAAAACCAATTTACGACCATAACAGCGGATTATAGAAAGTAAGTCCTCCACCATGTCGGCCTAACACGCATGGTGTGGAACGGGTTAATGTATCACACGTGTTATATAAACCAAATTTTCCCAAAGAAAATGAATGAAACATGCTTACCTATATATGATGTAAAATAAGATTCATGGCCAAAAGTTATTTTAAAGTGTTTACCGGAGCTTTATAGCAGCTATGGAAACGTTCCGTAGAAAAGATCTAGCATTGTAAGAGATACTTGTTAAACAAACTGGAAGAAAAACTAGTTAACTAAGCAGCCTGGCAATTTTCCCATAGATGTGACATCCTTGTAAGTCAACATCCACACTTACAGGCTGCCGCATTGGGAGGTTATACAAAAGATTTCATACAGTAAGGATGTTGCATATCCAATATCCAAACTGCATCCATATCCAATATCCTATGTATGACATACAGTATAAATATCTTTCTAAATGATTAGGTAGTAATATATACGGAGTAGTACTACAAGGCTGCGAGCCGGCATATGAGTATGTCCATCGCGTTCAGAAGTATTTCAGGAGTCCTATAGATGAACTGTAATTGGCTAACTGCCGTTCCGACCATAATGTCGACGTAATTATCGAATTGGTGTTGTTGGGTACGCTAAAGCATTTTTCCTGCTAACTCATCCGAAATCTGACGTTGCCTGCAGAGTGGAGTTGTACCGAGTGGAGTTTATTACACCGTTGTCCAGCATTTATACGTAAACACATCCGTTTGCATCCTCCGGCTTCCAGTTAATGCACCTGATACTGTTTTCGCAACGCACGCAATGTGTAAAATGCTAAAACCTTGCTGTTCGAGCGTTGTAATTTGTCATAAACCAGTACCGCTACGTCGTCCCCTGCAACCAGACTTTATTCTCCGGTCACCCAAGCTTTCCGGCCTTCTGATTTCCGGTTGCCGCACCAGTTTACAACAAGGACGTTGTGGTACTTGTGGATATGTGGTAGGAATCTCCGGGAATTCAATCGAAAAAGTGATTAAAAGAGAAATTACGTAACACAAATGAAGAAGCCAGCAATCAAACGTGGCGCTCTATCAATCATGCGGACAGCGGAAAACAGATGAGGCAGTATAAAACTTAACTTTTTTTGATATACTGACACTGTACGCATGATATGGATCACGGGTGACACCTTAAGCTTAAAAAAATTTGCTCAGATTGATAGTCTCCCGTAAAATAAGAAAGCCGAAGTAAATGTACAGGAATTCGATACCATGTACAGGGCCATTTCCCTTATTAATTTAAGAACGATGTACGAGCCCGACGAGAAATTGTGCCTTATTAAATTTAAATGTAGCAAAATTTACGAACTCAGAAGTCCCGCAAAATTCCATATTACGGCGCGCCGCAAAACACTGCTTAAACACGTAATAGATCAAACACATAATGTGGTTTGGTTGCCGCTCGTACATGCCAGATGTTTTAGTAAGAATAACCGTAATAACTTGTAGTAACCGTAATTACTTGGCAAATGGTGGCCGACAAAAGTCGATGCAGACAAGCAGTAAGAAGTGGTGTATCTGTGGAACGCAATTTTTTATTACGAATTTACGATGGACGTATTATGGTGGTCATCATTCAAAGCGCTAGTTCAGCTCTGCGGCGGTTGCCTGAGAACAATGACAATGTGGAAATGTGCTCGAAATCTGCAGTAATTCGATTAAAATCATGAAAAGACAAATTAGTGAAAAAGAGTACGGTTTGTACTATGTAGTTCGCTCTTCCTCCTTGGTTACCGTATCATTTCAGTATTTAGTGTTTGTAATATTGCTGCGCTCCAAAGTCAATAATTCTTTGGTCTTCCCATACTTGTGACCGTTAATTTTTGAGCGGAAAATCGTTTGTTTTGTTAAAAAAAATAATTTTTGTTTTGAAAATCCTAACAATATTCCCGGGACTACTAAGGAGTTTCTAAAGACTAAGCACAACCAAAACAGAGAAGCACGCTAATATCCTTTTCGAAACACTAAGACTTCAATAAATGTGTGCATATATATTCAAAAAATGCAGGTATTGTTTACTAAACTTGCATTTTTGATAATGAATCTAGCCAGCTGTTTATTTCCAAAATAATTTTTTTCGAAAAATTTGATTTATGTATATGTGTCAGTTTACCGAGTTTGAGTTCATTACATCTTTGCCCATACATTACGTAATCACATCCGTTTGCATCCTCTTGGAAGCCGTCAATTGACGGCCCCGCTGAACATGCCGGCACGCCACGTTACTGTTCTTTGACGTCCTTTTGCAACGCGAGGCAGGCATATTGTCCAGGGAATTGGGAAGGACAAGAGTACAAGAAGACAAGAGTAGAAAAAGTACAATCGTTTTTTTTAAATTCCACCCGAGGTCTACCATGCGATGTTTTAGTGACTGCCGCGTTTTGTAGAAAATTATCCTGAAGTCCGTGGGAGCTGGTTGGGAACCCTTCGAGGTATGTTTTGACACCAAATAGCCTCGAGAGAACTGGACACCGGCTACCCTAGCCACAGTTCTGGTCAAAACTGTTAAGACGTACGAAATATACTGTTTCCTGGCTTGGTGACACGCTGTTTCCGGCGTTGCGTCTGCTTTCCTGTTATGCTTCGTTTTAATATGAAACCGTACAAGTTGTGCGCATACCCTGAATTGTGAACCCGTTTGTGCGCGCAGCATCCGTTTGAATTCTGCTGTCAACTTCTGGTTATTTTAATTCGTGAGCTGGGCAACCAGACGTTCTGCGCAAACGCAGTTTTCAAGGTCACCATGAACAGGTAAGGGGCTGTAGAATGACTTTGAGAGATATTAAAAGTGTTTTCGATCGCGAAAGCGACGAACCTGACTACTTGTCTGATTTCCCGATTTGTTAAGAATTTATGATTGAGTAGTTAAATATTTAAGTATTTATTTATTAGGTATTTAAGCATTTCTTAATTATTTAGGATTTATTAGGTAGTTAAATATGAAATGAATTTTCCGTATTAAGTACATACTTAATAAGTACAGATATAGATACGATTATTCAGGACTAGCTGTCCCCGCGCAAATTGCGCGGAATAATAAAAGAAGATTAATTCAATGCAAAAAACATAAATGTTCTCAACTACTTCTGTAGATCTAAGTATTTTTCTGAAGAAATCATAGATTTTTAATGTTACTGGACTGCCAGGACAACCGTTGACATGAGCATACGAAATTTTTCAAATTTTCTTTCCGGAAGTGGGCCGGTTTTCGGTTTAGCTCTTCAGAACGAATTCTTTGCACCATTCCAGTAAATGATAATTTAATACTATTAGAAATGTTATTTGCCCAGCTGCAAAATAGTAGCTTTGTAAGTCAAATTTCAAATACAAATAATGCTACCTGCTCATTTTTACTATCGCGAATCGAGCGATCAGCCGCGCGAATCGCGAATTCCGTTGTACCAGTAGCCTTGCAGTTGCAGACCTGCAGTCTAGACGTACTGATTGAAAATGAACCAAACACTCCGGCTTGACAATCAAATTATCAAAAATTATCCGATTTCCAATTGATTTTCTGGTGGTAGTTGTATTCCCTACGCAATCAATGGTAAATTACTTTTTACAAAAACCTAAATTAACTAAATAGCAATTTTAAAACGTTGTAATATTTCGTTCATCGCTTGTTTAGTGGAAAATATAAAGCAGGTTGCCTTGCTTGCTGCTTCGCGAGCTCCGCTCGCGCCACAGCTCGGCGTCGCCTGCGGCTCCGCCTTCCATGAAAAACTGACGAAATTTTTTCGAGTTTCGCAAAATTTCTCGTTTTCATCAATGGAGTATTCCACCTTGGATGACGCGCCCAACGACCGTGAAGCAATCACTAATATAAAAAAAGTTTGTTTGTAGCCATGTACTCGTAGGTCTGCTGCAGTTAGTACACATCACCCAACTTAAGCGCATGGGGGATATGCAGCTGCCAGCTTGCGGTCCATAAACCTTAAAGTTCTATACTTGTACATGAAAATTAATGTAACACCAACACTAAACGTGCAATTCCACCTTTCTCGGACATTTATTTTTTCCACAGAAAACAAATTAACCCGCAACTTGCGGTGCGCAAGTTGCGGGTTAATTTGTTTTCTGTGGAAATTTTGTCTTCGGCGGCATATCAGTACCAATGGCAACCGCCCGTGGAAACATTGTAACTTTAAACTGGTCAAACCCTGGGAACGGCAGATCCTTGAGAAACAGTTTTGAGCACTTCCCTACTCGCAGAATTTGTTAGGTCTTCAGTCTTTCTTTCCTAAGAACTTACTTTTTCTGAAGCCATTTGTTGATAAAAAAAATTTATAATTTCATTCAAGAACCAGTACTAAGTTCTCGAGTCATAAACACGTACTATCCGTCTTCAGTCCCAGCAAAGCTGGCCAAAATGCGCTTTAGCTGTCGAGACAGTGGTGGGGTGGTCAGCTTTGCAGGGGTGGATTCTCAACTTTTCCCATTGGCTTTCTTTGTTAAAGTTTTTTGAAGTTTTCTTTTAAACGTTTTTTTTCTCTAAAAACCGAGTTGCGATGGCAAATCTACCCACTAAGGGCTATCGAATGATACTTAGACATAGAAGTTCGATTCGGTAGATGGAGCTGACGAACAGGACAGAGTGGGGATTTCGTTGAGGCTTACGCGATTATTATATGGTGATGATGATGATTTTAAGCCCTCCACGCCATTCTTAAAATGCACATAACAAACTGCTAACAGCACTTAGTAGTAGCCCTCCATAGGAGTCTACTGTCTACCGTACAAACTTTATAATTAAGCCAAACCAAAGCAAAGGAAAATAGATTTTATAAAGATAAGACCGAGTTTTATCTCAGTTGAAGCTCGGTATTTCCTTTACAAAAACTGTTGAAGACTTCCAATTCTGCTGTACATGTGCTGTCAAAACGGAAAGTGTCGCTTATTAATGTTCATGGTATAATCCTATTCTGACTTCTGTATCTATTCTAACTTCCGCAAGAAGATACCTGTAATTACAGTGGATTAACAACGATGCAATTACTAATAGGTCACTGCACTTTTTTCAAGCGCTTAGCGAAATCCCTGGATGATCGTCCGGTACCCACTACCAAAGGTTGGGTTCAGCCGTCATGATGTGGCGGTGGACAGGGACACGAACCGACGCAGGCCACGTTCACGCCTACGAGTGTAAACGCGCTTCAGTGCAGCTGTCATGGTCTAACCCATAGAAAAACAATAAAGGGCGATGGTACTTAGTCTTCTCATACCGTAACACCCAATCCAGCATTCGTTCGTATACGTCCGTCCATCCGCTCCACATAGTGGATCATAATTGCTGTGACCCCGGCACTCAGTCCCACATGTTCACCACTGGTGACATTAATCACTAACGGTACAGAAAAGGATTGCTATACGCTATGTTGTGCCTCTTGTTTTCATCAACATGATCTTACCGGCAAAGAACAACATCGACAGCATAAAAACCGTCACTGAATTTGCCATTGTTACTACGAGGGGCAGCTCTGATACTGACTTGCAAAATAGCAACAACAGAAAAACGTTACTGTGGCACGCGAGATTATTTATATAACACCTAGCCACACAGGAGAGCTGTTCGGGGTTTTCCCAGTTTGGTCTCCTTAACTTAAGCCCACTATTAAATTGCCATTATACTGCTTATTTATGTTGCCAGTGTGGGCTATCCACAAAAGCATAAGAGTGTGGATGTTTCTTCGGACTTGTTTATGTTGACTACGCAATGTGCATTACGGGCCAATACAGCATAAACCCACAGCAGCAAAAAATCGCGAAAATTCAGCAAAACGGCTCTTAATAGCGCTATTGAATTATGAGGTGTTGTGCGGGGTGGAAGCTAGGTATAAAAATAAATCTGTTACGCTTGGTCGTAAACACGTTTATCTTACATTACTTTGGTTATCAGTTATCACTGACATGTAAATACTGCATTCAGCTCAAGAATTTGTGCAGGTTGTCCTAATAGCAGCGTGCCTAATCGCAGATGCCGTCATCGGTAAGCAACATTGCTGCATAAGAACAAATTACTCAAGTATACTGTGTATGTGACAAAGTATCAGGCATGTGACAAAACGACCATGCGCAATTCGTAAGACCTCATAATTCACCTCATAATTATAAGGCGGAAGTTCCCATAATTGCCCGGTAAAATGTCTTGTATGTACCTGTACCTCTTCTCTACCTGCTGCACCAAAGTATGCCACCACCATGAGTTGTGAAATCCATAAAAGCGGCTGTTTACACACAATTTAAAACTTCCGCTCGCCATAATGGTTACCAGCTGCACTAGGCAAATATTTTGCTTTCATTGTGCGACATACGCTGTTGTCTGTTGTCGAATATCGCATTGTCGCCTTCATCGAAGATAAATCCGCAAATGTTTGCTGACGATCGTAAAAGGCAGAACAGTGGAAAATATTGATCAGCTGCCGGATAAGGCATTCAGATTGCTTCCGCAGTGCTGTAAACATTTCGTGTCTACAGACTGTTTTGGAGGCTGCTGTGCAACAGGAAAACCACAACAGTCTGGAAAGCGGGGAATTCCAGGTGTGCTGCCATTGCAGTCTTAACCGTATAAAAACAAATGTTCACCGATATAAAATGTGCTATAGTGAAACTGGTTCAGTAGATCAGTGCGATTGGTAACTGATTTTAAATTATTATTCCGGTCAAGAGTTCTTGTTTGAAAATGGGCAAGACGATTAAAATCATCTTGGTGGCGTTTCTTGTATTATGCGGTGAGCTGTTACAAATAATAATTAATGAGTTTAACATTACCAGCATTACCAGAAGTATCTCGCTGTTTGTTGAATTAATTTACGCGCTAATTTATTTATAACCTTTTAAACAGTGATCAGCCAGATCGCGGCGCAGACGTTCTGCGCGTGTCCGAAAATCCTGCATCCGGTATGCGGATCTGACGGACGTACGTACTCCAACGAATGCCTGGCAGAATGTGCCGGTAAGCAACCCGAACTGCGTAATGTAAGCCATCAGTGCCTTCGGCCTATAGGATTCTAATCAGATGCTGGTTTGTACAGGAGCCGCTGTTTTATGTAATGGGAACTGTCCTTGCATGAGCGGATGAACGGACCCCACTTACTGTACAATTTGCCTCCTTCCTCCTTTGAAGCATTTATGTATCAAACGGCCATACTTTCTTGCTGGCGCTTATTTTCGCATGTACAGTTGTTTCTTTCCTTTCTGTTCTCATTCAGATTGTGTACATACAGTAATTTGCTGCCGATTTCTAAATTGATTTGTGTACAGACAAACAAGAATCAGTGTGCAGCAATGATTCAAGTGCAAGTACAGAGTGTAATTATACATGCTGATGCAAATACGAAGTGCGTGATATACAGTATTGCCTACCTGATTGTGAGTTCATCAGTTATTTTAGTACATAATATCGAAAGACATTGAAATTTTTCAGAAAAAAACGTTGCATTATGTGTCATTTTTCGGTTTTCGAACTCGGAGTTGTTTGATGATGTGCGCGCAATAACCAACTCCTATAATACAAAAAAACCAGGATGTAAGAATTTTGTCATCGGAGAGTATGTGTGAGCACTACATAAATTAATGGATGTAAGAAATCCAATATCCGCCGCATGGTTTATCTACCTTATTGAATTGATGCGGACCATTTGTGCCACGGTGTTTCCATGATGTTATTCAAATTTCAAATGCGTTTCAAAATTTAAACTTAATTTAAATTGGAAAGAAATGCCAGAATTCAGGTTCCATGTCAAAACGATCTCTATGCTTATGTGCCTTTTTCTGCAGAACTGGAAAGAGATTGGTTCATAATGAGACTATTGATTCGCCTTCTTGCAATTAAACTTTCGCAATTTATTTCGCCCATAACTTGCCAACCGGATGCAGCGCGCACAAACGGTTTCCACATCAACGTATAAAAAAATTTGGCTGCCGAATGCAACAAAACGATGCAAAAAAGTGTTAGGGACTGTGTGAAAGTGGAAGTTTTCGTGTATGTTCCCAAATTTGACACCCTGTGCCCGGCCACTTCCCTTGAGCCATACACACCATCACCATATACGGTGATTTCTTATGTATAGTGGTGCCCTTGTTTTCGGAGGGACTTGTGTATAGCATAACAGGATACATACAGTACGGCAATGATTTCGATAAATCATCGACGATAAACAGGATATTAATACTGATCTTTCGACACCGTTAACTCTGAAGCAGGACGCCAGCTTGGTGACACCAAGTTTTTAAACAGTTTTCTGTAGCAGCTATCTTTTGGCCGCTGCATTCGGCATTCCTTCCTCCACCGATTAATCCAAGGGATCGTCAACAGGTTCGATGCACCGAAGCAGTAACGACCCAACATCCGGTCAACGGAGGCGGCGATTAGTCTGGCCGTTGCCGGCGATACAGCATCCGGTCGCTTCCTGGTCAGGACGGATACGTAAGGTCGCCGGCATAACCCCGATGTTATGTTGTGGGCGTGGCATTCGTAGTACACCATGTAGGAATGGTAGTCTGTCGATAGTACAAACGCCGATGCCATTCCTGCAAGTATGCAAACCGAAACACACATAAAAAAATTGATTTTGGAAGAATCACTTTTTACAAACATCTAAAAAACTACACTAATAATAAAATGATAAATAAATGAATTAATTTTAATTCCACAATTAGGCGTACGTATTCCAGCACAAATCATAATTATAGTTTCAGCATTAACGCAGAATTTAAAAAAAAACTAAATTATTAAGCAAATGTTCATATAAAATTTCTTAGTACGTCTTGGTTTGGATCAATCAAACTGAAACCTAGGAAGCCAAAATTTACCCAGAAAAATATCGCTTTCATTGGTGGCATAATCCACGAAAAATGTATCTTTAACTTGACCACTTATGGCTATTTGCAGTAAACTGGCGGTTGGAAAACAGGATGTACTGTCGTTATCTTGATGACTGATTTCGACGATGCTGCTAAGCCGTTCCACCATTAAACCATTCTCGTCGCCGGCCGCGTCCGGGATCTTTTCCGTGAGGCGGCGGAACTCCGCGATATAATTAGCGACCGGCAGATCGCTGGATGTCCAGTAGCTGTTCCAGTACAGATACCCGTACCACTTTCCTAAAATCTAACTAGCACAAAAATGCAAACTTCTGGGTAGCTTTTCCGCACAGCACTTCTTTAAACCTTTATCAAAATTTAAATTTTATATGTACTATTGTACGTAAATAACAGTTATAAAATCCCTTCTCTTATTTTTATAAGATTACATGATGTTAAAACAGTTAATTAATGAATTTATTTTATTTTGGCGGCTTCGACTCAACTTTGACCAGCGTAAGCAACCTACCAGTTTGGGATCAATTTTCATTGGTTGAATGTAATTCGGCAGTGCCGGTTGTGCGTCGGTTGGACAGTGTATGCTGTGGTAGCGACGGAATGGAATATGGTCGGTGGTCAGCGTTGTCTGGTTCTCCGTGTTATCCTGTTTGCGCCACATAATCTTCCCCTCCGAACGATCTGTAAAGCAAACAACGGAAACAGGGTTACCACACTAATTTATAATAAAGACAAGAAATTATAAAGAAAGCAGTCATAGAGAGTGTCGCTTTTTTGGCCAACCTGAGTATTACCAAGAGCGGTGCATAGTACGAGGAAAACGATATTGATGAACACACGAAATTCCATAATTCCCGGTAATGTTCGCCGATATGTATTGAAACATAAAAAATAACAGTGATGGCATGCAAACTAATTTATTCTGCTAAAAACCGTAATATTGGAATCAGATGTCGAATCATGTCAGTGTTGCTAAGCTGTGTTCATTGCTCTGGATTTGGCGTTATTTAATTCAGCTGTTGTTTTTGCTGGAAGAATACATAACCTTGGTTGCATCTGTGTTACGAAACACCGTTTATCATCGTAGTTCGATTTGTCGTATTCAGCGCGCTTAACGGAAGTTACTGTAACAAGCGTGCTTTTGTATTTATCAGCCGACTGTGCTTGTGCAGTACTGGGACTTGTGCAGCTGGTGGTGCTGTTATGTTAAGAAATACGGAATTAAATACCTTTTCTTCCCCGGTTCCGCCGCGCTAGGCGCATTGTGGGCGTAACTACTGTATTTGGTTATCCACAGCCATGGCTGTTTTGGCCGATTTAATTACTTGTTAATAGAATAACTGTTAAACCGCTCCGCTTGAGAAAAAAATATAATGTTGTAATATTTAATTTACTATTGAACAGAAAAGCCAAACTACAGCAGTCAATGATGCTTAAATTGTTTGATGTTTTCCCCAGGCAGACTTTAGGTTACTGTTTATTTCTTGACGTTAAATTAAAATTCGGCTGATATAATTTTAGCAAAAACAATACTAAATAAAACAGTGCTTTCCGCGCATTACTATAGCACTGAAACTTAAGGAAACTAAAGTCCAAGAAGTAAGTACTTCAAAAAAGTACCGCCTGGATTCTGCTGAAAGCAGTGTCTGATTGTGGCATCTCAGTGTGAATTGTGAACCCGTGAAGCTGTCTCTCTCGGTGTAACCCGTTACGCAAGCCGTAAATTACGTGGCGTTGAATATGTAGTAACGCTCCTAATGATGCGGTATCCACAAAACTAAGGCAGTTATATAGGTAACTCATGACCTTGTGGAGTAACGCGGCAGACTGAATGTCGCATTGTTGCGTAACCCTTCGTAAAATGTAAGATGAGCTTACATAACGCGGAGCGGTAAATTTATGACGAGTATCTATATTTGTACAAGATGCTTGTTCCTGCGTGAATAAAGCGATCCTTTATTCCAGTTTGATTAGCGAAAAGCAAAATTAAAAACCGACACACAATATGTGTTAAAATTATGCATTTAAAGATTAAAAAATTTTATTTGCAGTAACGGCTGACTAAAAACGGTAACAGTAACTGCCTAGTACTGCCTAGTTCCACGCAATTGTAGAATATTTGTTTTCTTTTTTTGGCCAGTGCAGGAATCTTCTTTTTGCAAACTCATACAGCACACGCGTTCATTAGGCAGTACATTGATTCTAAAGTAGAAGTACGAATACAGACGAGTCGTAATGACGATCGTTTAAAAGGGAAAAAACCGTTTTAGCCGGAGAAATACTGCGCAACCAGGGCATTACTGGCGGTGTCGTCGGCCGCGTAATAAAACATTCCGTACAGCAAATTTGCATAGCATAAATCGGCCGGCCGCACCACGGGACAATCCTGAAGCTGGGGCAGCCACACCGCGGTGGTCATCAGGGACATGTCGAAGCAGTACCGACCCAACTCTTTATTGACCGCGCTGGCGATGTTAGTGATGGTTTTTGATAGCAGCTGATCCGGGCGGGTACGCGTGATGACGTTCATATCCACCAGCTCGCAGATGCCGGTGGCGGTGTTGTAGCGGTAGCAGTAGTAGATGATGGCCATCGTGTCGTAGTCCGTGTACAGTACCAGCGCCGGTGCGGATTCTACAGAATTTGAACGGAAAATTAGAACCATTGTAGGCCCATTTTTACGAGTAAATCAAGAAATATCTACGATTATTATAATACTGTATAAGGCGTAAGATAACTGAATTAGGAACATCGGACAAGCTATTTTAAAAGTTCCAAAACGTATAATCCTATTTACAATTATTATGAACGATTATTTTAAAAGCAATTTCCAATTTATAATTTTCATAAATTCACAATTAATTTCCATGCGTTATGACTATCAATACTTTAGTAACAGGCATTTTTCACTTTATTTCATTAATTAATTAAAAAAACATTAGGCAGCAAGGGCGTAATAAACATGAGCTGAAATATTGTAAGTGTAAATACAACTGCACATACAGAATTCGTTTTGGAATTCCATACAAAAAGTTTTTAGGGTCAGCAAAATTTTTGCCCAAATAATAGCATGACTTTCGTCCCTGACGGTTAAAGCGCATCGACATTTTTTAAATTTGCTTGTTAATTTCTTACGTATGGTCGTTTTAGACGCATCGACATTCGGGCCGAAACCGTCAAACAGAGTGGACTTGAACACGCCGTCCGCATTCAGAAATCCGACAGCCGCCGAGTTCAGGCACTTGCGGGTGGTGCGGTCCACTCGCGTATACAGCTCTTCCAGGACGTACGCGTCGGTGTTCGTGGACGGTTCGATGGTCAGGTCTGTCAGATTGCTGACGTAGATCAGCGGATTGTAGTGCAGCGTAAAGGGCACCGCGGCCGTGGGCGTGCCACGCCATTCCGCATAAATGTACCATTTTCCTAAACTCTGCAAAATAATAATTGTTGAGGGAATTTTAGGGTAATAATATAAAACTTATTCTATAAATAAACAATATTAAAATTTTCCGGAAATTTGTAAAATATTTGCAACGTATGCGTGCAGACAGTGGGGAGTATGGCAGAATTGTATGACTGGAGGTTTTTCTTGGCGTACCATCACTTAAGTAAGTTAATATTCTTATTATTTGTTATCTGGATATAGATATTAAGGAATAATTCAGTTACATTACTTACATATGTTGTTGCTAAATACGTATATCATTACAGAAACGTAAAAGTAAATAATTCCATGAATAAATAATTAATACTTAAGTAAAAGTATTTGATTCGTAATTTTTTGTAGCCACCGTTAATGCACCAAAAACCGTTAATGCACCACCACCGTTAATGCATCGTACCCGGAACGAATCGAAATTATTCACGGGTTCGATGTAGTTGGGGAACTGCGGCGTTTTGCCGGTACAGCTGTAGTAGGAGCTGTCATAGGAGCGGTCGTTGGAGCGATCTCCGTAGGAGTTGTCGTAGCCATAGTCCTGGTACCGATCGTAGCTGCCTGATCTGGAATAGGAATCATACTTGCGGGAATAGTCCAAGGAACGGTTGTACAATCGGTAGTTGTTATCGTAATCACGATTATAATCACCCGGGGGATAATACCGGAAGTCACCCTTTCCGACGCCTGAAAAAATTTATCGGAATCAATTACACCTTGCCAAAATAAATAACCATATCTAGTTAATAGCTAAATTAGTACAAACAGCCTTCAGAATACTATTTATGGTTATTAATTTGTTATATAACGAGTCTGTTTGCTTTAATTTATTTACGGTATGTGCTGTTTTCAAAAAGCTGTTTAGGTTTTAATCTGCAGCAGTTAAATTTAAAATACTCTTAAAATTATGGCTTCGAGATCAGCCTTACATATTAACACGATAATGGTGGATAAAACCGTATTATGCATATTAAGTATGATTAATTCAATCAATTGAGATGCCAAGCAGTGGTTAGTCCGCATAAAATTGATTACTCTCTACCTGGATTGTGCGTGTGAACTGCTCTCCAGCATGTTCATCTGGATCACTGTTTTCTGCTCCAGCATAACGCGTTATGCAATCACTATTACGCGGTCAATCACTGCTGCGGTAACGCTGCACAGGATGCGGTAACCGCAAAAACCCGGCGTTTATGTAACACACACCACAGCGGTGTCAAGGTTGTGCAACGAAGATGACTTTGATGTTAAGTAACGTGGTAACAGTAAGGAATGCCGCGGTTGTTGCGTAATGAAGGTGAAAGATGTAACGCTTGCATAACACAGAGTGATGCGCTTATTGCGCTGTATCAGCACGGGATTTAGTGGAGGTATCCCGTTGTATAATACAGAGCATACACTAGCACAGAAAAGGAAAACTTTTATAGGACTTCATTTTATTATTATTAGGTTGTTAATTTTACAGCAACTCTCCCCTTCTGACGCCTGCAGGCAGTTATCGAAATTAAATGCAAAATGAGAAAATTACTACCTTGCTTATAAAAATGGTGTTGTTGTTAAAATTACTACCTTGCTTATAAAACTGGTGTTGCATTTGTAATATACTTCTATTTATGAATGATAGCCACCTGCGTGACACTCGTAAAAGTATTTCATGACAGGCTACAATTTCCGGCCTGTTAACAACTGCAAAAAATTAAGTATGTGTAAAAAGCTTTTAATTTATAAATGTTTAGAGTTTGTTAACTATCAATCTGTGACACAGGATCGACATAAAAACAACAAAAAATTCGACATCGACATAAATTATTAATTATCTATAAAATTATCTACTGTGTATGTAAGGCGTCCATAAATCAGTGTCAATAATCTCAGTAAATCCGTGATTCCGCTCCGCATAATCGCAATTTTGATCACGAAGCTGAAAAACAAATCTGTTGGGAAATGCATTAATTTAATTAACTGAATACGATACGAGTACGGAAACAACCTGTTATAGCTATCAAAGGTTGGACACATTCAGGTTTACCGGAAAACATAGGTAACATATAAATTTTGCGGGACATAAATACATAAATGTTCAGCATTTATGGATCTGATGCATTATCCTCTCCCGCTAAATACAGCATGCCATAGAGTAAATTATTATAACAATTATCCGAAGGCCGTAAAAAGGGGCACGCTGGTAACTGCGGCAGCCATGTTCCCCGGGTCATCATGGCCACTTCGAAGCAGTATTTGCCCAGTAATCCATTGACCACGCCGGCGATGTACAGCGTCTCGTATGACGTCAGGCTGTCCGGACGCGAGCGGGTGAGGACGGTGACAATGGGGGAACTGCAGAATCCCGATGCGGTGTTGTACGCGTAGCACAGATATAACACGATATAGGTGTCGTAATCGGTGGACAAAATCAGCACTGGAGAACTTGCTACAACAAGCCGAACCATAAACGAACTACTAATGTACAGATACTATTCTATATGCAGTTTTTCCCATTCTACATCAGTTATTGTTTACTATTTAGATAATAACTTATGATGAAAAAAATGAAGCTTGAAGAAAAAATTTTCGAAATTGTTTTATTTGATTAAAAAAGCTAAAAAATTTTCTAAATCATCAGATAGCATTTTTCATTTCGAAAAAATGCTTAAAAAAATCTAAATCATTTAAATATTAAACATTTCCTTAGATTTTCTGCCAGTTTTACGCGCCAACCTTATTAGTTGCTAATCTGATTTTTAAATCTGCACCTAGATAAATGGTTAAAATGTTATTTTTTCCGTATGCAATAAAAGACTTCGTTTCTAAGAAATTTTTATTTTTTTCAAGTAAAAACTTGCCGAAAAATTTTGTGGTCCTTACCGATTAAAGGTTCAGCCGGCGTAGACTGGTAATTTAGTCGGTTTGGCGCATTAGTTTGATAGTTGTCGAAAACCGTCGCTTTGTAGGCACCATCTTCCGTCAGATAGCCAATAGCCGCGCTGTCCCGGCAAGTTCGATCACTCCGCTGCACACTACTGAACAGCTCTTCCACGACGTACGCTTTCTTGTTGGTGGACGGTTCCAAGGTTAAGGCAGTCAGATTCTTCAAGTACATCATGGTGTTGTAATTCAACTGGAAATGCGCTCCATCCGCCGCTGCATTGCCGCGCCACTCGAGATAGGTGTACCATTTGCCTAAAGTCTGCATAAGCAATATCTTTCCAGTTGCCATTTAAAAAACGATTTGTTTGATGAATATGTACCGCCTAAATTTGAATAGCAAAGAAAATCTAGAGATAGCGTACCCGAAACAGATCCAGTTTTTTCATTGGCGGGATATAATTGGGAAACTGCGGCCCGGTTTCCCGGCAGGGATCATCGTACTCGTTGGGATGTGAACTACCTGGGTATTCATGTCCATCGCGATCGTGATCAGGTGAGGAGTATCCAGAATGCGGGGAGGCTTCATCATAAGGATTCGCCGAGTTAAAGTATCGACTGCGATACCGCGATGCAGCATACCGGGAACTGCCCGCGCTGAACCCTGTAATACAACGGTATTCACAGTAAAACTAATGCTATCTTGTTACATATTACCTACGATTAGTAACCATTGCCGTAAGAACCAAAAATACCACAAAAAAAGTGAAAAGCAAAAACTGTGCAGAGAAGCATTAAGAAATAAGGGTATTACCGATGACTACAAAAATGATGATCAGGAGGATAACTTTGATCATTTTAAAAAGCCATTTATAACTTAACCAACTGCAACTGGGAGGGTAAAAAAATGTATTTTAATAGAATTTTTTTTGTGTTAGTGACACTGATAATACTGAAGACTCTGCGGACTAAGTTCGTCCTCAAGCCCGGTATAGCATTCTCTCTATGGAATTCACAACCACATTGCATAAAGACTGTGGTAACGGTTATTAGGTAATCTCGTTACAGGTGCAGATGTTCTTTTATCGCTGCCGTAATTACTTTTTGCCATCACTCCGTTCTAAAACATTTGGGCTCGTAGTTGAGCAACGCTGTAAACTGGATGGATGTTGTACAATAGTAGTGAAATCAAAGGTCATTATATGGTTTGCAAACGATTTTTATGCTTAGAATTAGATACATCATACAGCGAAAGCAATGCAATTAGTTGGTTTTTCGTGCGTTTTCTAGTGGTGTTTTGCGATTCTCAAATATAGTAAGGTTGTTTCATAAAAATGAACATATTCATATATTCATCGATTGCCTTTGCGGTTCTCTTGCTGTTGCCCGGTTAGTAATGTCCGCGTAGTGTCCATGCAGTTCAGTAAATTTGTACTATACTTAGTGCCTACCTACTTACCGACTGTATTTAGTCAAAATAATCTGAATATTAATAAATTTTTTTAAAACAGCTTTTCATTAACAGCATCACAATGTTTTGTATTACGACAGTATTTCGGAACTTCATATGTGGAGCCGAAACAGTTCACAAATCCCACGCTAAATTCGTGGTCTATTTTATAGGCTCCAATGACGGCAGCAAGTCGTGGAAGAAGAAAAAATATTACTTTAAGAGCCAAAAGAGATATTTCTGCGATTCCCGCTCCCGCCATCACCCTTCCTACCACCGGGTGCCGGCACCATGCGCAGCCAATGCCAATCCACAGCTGTCCAGTCATATTAAACCCATGCCCATCGATCCATACCGGGTGAGTCAGCCAATTAACCCGAGCTCCCCAGTTTCTGGTGTTATCTAGCTAGTAATTATGGTACAATTTTTGTTAAAAAACGCCCTTGTTTCGTGTAAAAGGCATATTGCGTAAAGAGGCGAGTCTCCTTTTGAAACCCATGTTGGTGATTTATGCCAATTGGTGTGTATTGTGTACTTGTTGACTATACCGTTTATCGATTTTATTGTTAGATTTTTGGAGCGAATACTGGCCGATTTCAAGTTTTTTGTTCAAGATGTGTTTTTAGGAGTGATTATTTTGTGTTTTGAGCAGATGCTTGGCAAATGGTATCAGCCCTTGGTATTTTACAACAACGCCAGCGTTAATTCTCTGGGATACAATTTCGCCGTCTACTACAACAACATTGGGAATGAGACGCTACTCGCCGGCACCGATACACCGGCACTGCTGATCGAATATTACGAAAGCGCCATCGATGCCGATACGCAGAAGTGTGGCACCAATGTGGCCTTGAATCAACTGGCAGCAAACGGCAGAATGCGGCAGCTGTGGTTCTACAGTTTCATCACGGATCCGACGCAGTACGGGACAGGTAAAGACAGTAACGACCAATCAGATCTGTGTTTACAAAAAGTAAACAAATAATTATGCCCGAAAAGTGAAATTGCACGAATATTTTGGCAATGGCATTTTCCTGCTTTGTCCTAATTTTAATTGTGGGCATTTTTCCAGCATTGTGGCCGGATGTAGTGGCGTCGACGGACTATGATTCCTATGCGATTATTTACGAGTGTGACCGCGTCAGCAACACCAGTCGTAGTGCCTGTGAGGAGCCCTACATCGCTGTGCTGACCCGTGACCGACCCGATTTGGTGTCGTCCGCGGTGATAACGCGCGTGTCCAAGGAGATCGATCGCATCCTGGGCAAGTACTGCTTCGACGCCTCACACCTGCTGACACGCCCCTGGTACCCGGCACTGGGCGAATGTCCGCTGTATCGGCCCAGCATCGACTGCTACACGAAGCAGTACGATGCGTGGAAACTCCTGGCGGGTACCGGACCGGGCAACGGACAAATCACGCCGGATAGCGGACCACAGACAGTGCAGTTTTTTGGTTAACAACCAGTTTATTTTACACTTTTACAGTAATGTTGATGCGGTTGTATGTAGTTCGAACAGTATTTCAAAATGTTGTCTGTGTCAGTTCTGTTACATCTTATAATTCGAAGGTGGCGGCTATTATACAGTTACTCCTATTTTATTCGATACTCAGTAAAACATGCTGTGTGCTTCTGAATTTTGTCCAAACGCATGGCAGACAATATATCATGGCGAATTGTCGACTAAAAATCATGAAAACGCAAAAACATTGCAAGGTTAAATCAAATGCCATGTGTAACTCTTTCATTTGGCCATTTGTTTTCTTAGTTAGCAGATACTTGCCGGCAAAAAGTTCCAACAAGGCTGTTTTTATCCGTGAAATGCATATTGAAACGTTGTGCAATAAAGTAAGATGCGTTAAAGATCAGTTTTTCCCGAAAGCAAGCAGATAATTGCGAAACAATGCAAAAGAGGTGTTACAAAACAAACTTTATACACGTAAGCCTGAAACCACTAGGTTCATCCGTACGAGTACCGATACAAAGAAATCTCGGCTGCGTTGCTTTTCTAGCGATATTGTGCAGAAGCGGTCTTTCCTTACACTGTAATAGAAATGAAGCCATTTATTGCAGCCGCTATTACTCTCGTCTTGTTATTTGCCGGTCAGAGATAAATTAAATAACTTTTGCCAGTTACTAAGTGACATATCAGACATTTTGTCAATATGAAGTGCTTCGATGCTTACAATATCAACATACAGTTCGTCTTCCGTCTTACTCGAAATTTATGGTTTCAATTTTTTTTGCAGATTTCAGCGACAGCAGCAGCCAGCACCAATGGAAAACAAGGAAGAAACTGATGCGGCATTTTGGTAAATCGGCCTCCCGGTACCATTCATCCTACCACCGGGTGCCGGCCCCGTTCGCAGCCAATGCCAATCCGCAGCTACCGAGCTACATCGAGCCAATGCCCATTGATCCGTATCGCGTAAGCAACCGTCAGAAAAAATTTGCGCCTGTAAATAATTCTTTCCATGAGAATAACAGTATAGCAAATAAACATCGACATTATTCCGTAAAAAAATACAAAAAATCCACAGAAGCGAAAATGCATTCTTATGAACACTTTCATTTACAGTAACGTCTTAATAATAAACTTCGAATTTCTTTTTCAAACATATTACAGTGTAAAAAGCTTTCTGTTAAATATTATGACATGTATAAATGCTTTTCTTAAAATAAGCCATGGTTAATATAACGGTAGCCTAATTTAAATAAATATTGTGCATTGAAATCGAGTTTTGATTTCGTAATGAAAACAAATGAGGGTTTTACGTACCGCGTAGATGCTGGGCAAATGGTATAACTACCTGTCGTACTTTCCCAACACCAGCAGCAGTGACCTAAGCTACAATTACGTCACCTACTTCAATAATATGGGCAACGAGACAATCGCCCCGGGCACGGATATCCCGGCGCTGCTGGTGTTAACCTATGAGAGCACTATCGACCCGTCCTCAATGTCATGTGCGGAGGCCGTCGCGTTAACACACCTTCAGGCGGATGGCGGACTACGGCAGACATTTTTCGCCGATTATCGCACGGATCCGGCGCAGTATGCTATTTGTAAGTGTTAGTATTGGCTATCGTAAGTGGTCTTCCATTTTGGATGCTCACTCCACAGCAAAGTCGTTGTTTTCGGCATAATAAACGTTTTTCCTGTACGATGTCGCAAATGAGGCAGTTTACCATGCCAAACTAATTTCCGGTTCTAAAGAAAAGTAATCTCATACAACTGTACAGTGTACACGTTTGAACTGCTTTGATTTTAGTTTTGTCGCTTTAGGTTGACCTTTCAGATGGATTTATTTTGTAAGCATACTTACCAGAAAACTTTTCTAACTCTAAATGAAAGAAATTCGTCTAAATTTCGTCCTGGAGGACATGCATGGCGAGAGAAAGTGCAATTACATATAAGTGTACTTTGTGACCGTAAGTGCACCAGCAGATTGGTCACATTTCTCATCCATAATTTACAGATGGCGAAGAAAATGTGCGCAGCGAGCGGCTTGTAATTTGAGTGCGAAAAAGACTTCAAAGTATGCGATAAGACTGCAAGTAGCTTTCAAACAGTAATTTCTGAAATATGGTAGCAAAATTTAGTCCTGTTATTTTACTGTGTTTCAGCACTCTGGCAGGTTTTGGTGGCATCCACAGACTACGATTCCTACCTGTTCCTGTATGAATGCGTCCGTGTCAGCAACGCTAGTCGCCACGTCTGCGAGCAACCCTACGTGCAGGTGTATACGCGCGACCGTCCGGATTTACTCACCTCCGCCGTGATAACGCGGGTAGCGCGGGAGACTGACCGCATCCTGGGCCGGTATTGCTTCGACGCTTCGCAAATGCTGGCGAGCACATGGTTTCCAACGTTGGGTGAATGTCCACAGTATCAGCCGACCGCTGACTGTTACACCAAACAGTACGACGCTTGGAAATTCCTGGCGGGAACCGGACCGAATAACGGTCGCATGGCACCGCGTTACCAGCGGTTTGGCAAGCCCTTTTACCGCTAAAGTCGGTTTTTGCGCCGATTTAACGTGTTTTGTCTTTTGCTGCAAATCTCGACCAATTTAAGCTTTGTGCAGCCGAATAAACGTTTAGCACAAATGTTTTTTTATCTTCTGCTCGATTAACGACGTTTATGGAAGTTAAGCTCAGTTTACTGTTTGTCCATAATTTGGAGACGGCCGCAGTTGCCCCACTTTCTTAATAAAATGAATATTTAAGTGAAAATAATTATCTCGAGCAATTCCATATTCATAGCATGATACTTCCGCACTAATCACGCGCTGGACTGTTATCGGTGCTGCTGCACGTACTGTAATGCATTCAGTAGTCAGCATTTAAATTATCGTTACGAAAGAAACCGTCACTACGATATAAGAGGTATGCAAGAATAATTTGAGTATATTATAGTTATTTCTGGCATTTCTTTTGTTTCTTCTCATGCAGTTTGTGGAAAGCTTAGTTGCGCAACAGATTGCGCGCACACCCTGCAGATTCCTTTTACACCGTACAAAAGGTTTATTACAAATCCAGGGTTTTGAACCCCAGCTGATTATTTACTTATACAAACAAATTATGGTAGAAATTCCGTACTGTTTGCATTTCCGTGTTTTCTGACCGAAGCGTATGAAAGATTAAAGATTCTAATATTAAGTGTGCCATACTCCGCTGCAAAAGTTGTCGTATTCCGAATTTTTTTCTGTGGTTAAAAAACAGTACGTAAATCGCGTGCGTGATTGCTTTTTTTGCGGCTGAAAAAATCAGCATTCTCTCGGGAATTTTATTTTCAATAGCAAGTCGAATTTGCAAATGTCAATGCTGAGCTTTGTACAGTGATTTTATTAGTACAGGCTTGCTAGAAACATCTAATACAAGGTCCCACAGAAGCAGTTAGCGGGTTACTGCAATGGGGAACAATAATCACGACAGTTGCATAATGTCAGTTGTGTACTTGTTGGATTTTTATCGTCGCTGTTGCGTGAACACGTTAATCACGCTTATTGAATAACCTGAAGGAGAGCGTTATGATGTTATACTGTAGTAGTATGATGCTAAAGAAATTTTTGCCGGTTTCTTTTCGTCTCTCTTGTGCAAGCTCCAGAGACCTGGATGTTGCGCAATAAGTACTCTGCAAATCAGTTTTTTCCACTAAACAGAGTCTCCAATGCCAAACCAGGTTTAAAACATGAAAAATTATTTGTCAGAACAAATCAACAACGGCTGAACCTTTCGGTGTTTGTTTGTAAGCATTCTCGACCGATAAAACGGTTTTTACTAGCGCTGCTGAAATTAACGGTAGAGAATGAAATCATCGTTATCATTTATAATCGCCGCCTCTCTTGTTATAATTTTGATTTTTGCCGGTAAGATATGGAATTTAAGAAATAAATCACAAAATTCCGGAAATCCTTGTAATGCAATTTACTTTTTTATCTGTTTGCAGATTTCAACAACGGCAGTAGCCAGCACCACTGGAAGAAAAGAAAGAAGATGAAGAAACACTTTTGTAACTCTGGATCCGGTCACCACTCTTCCTACCATCGGGTGCCGGCACCCTGCACAGCCAATGCCAATCCGCAGCTGCCCAGCTCCGTCGAGCCAATGCCCATCGATCCATATCGTGTAAGCAGCCGTTGTCGGCGAACTAATTTTCGAGAAAAGCAATAAATATTTTTACAGAAATGCCAGTGTGAAAAATTATTTTAACCATGACCATAACAAATGGTGTACATAAGTTACGCAAGGTAAACATGTTTTGCTTGCTTAAGCAAAAAAGAGTAGTTTTTAATAATTTCTTCTGTGCGCTTGATATAAAAAAGTTGAAAGATAATTGTAGCTTGTGCGGTATTACGAAATGATATGAATGTTATATTATATCTGCAAGTAAATATGTATCTGACATATCGATAATAATAATAATAATTTGCTGCATATATGTATATATATATATATATATATATATATATATATATATATATATCAATAGTAATACAATAATATATACAAATATTGAGTTATTCGTGAATATTTAAGTAAGGTTAATCAATCGCTTTAAAAAAAAACCGTTTTACTGCGCAGATGTTGGGCAGATGGTATCAGTACTTGGTGTACTTCCCTAACGGCAGCGTCAACGCACTGGGCTACAATTTCGTCATCTATTTTAACAACCTTGGCAACGAGACCCTTGTCCCGGGCACCGATATCCCGGCGCTCCTCGTGGAGGATTACGAAAGCGCCATCGACTCCACTACACAATTATGCAGCAGCGGTTATGACGGTTTAGCGTATCTGGCTTCGGACGGTACGATTCGTACGACTTCGTTCGGCAATTATAACTCGGATCCTTCGCAATACAGTTTAGGTGGGTGTCATGCTGCGCACGGTACCGAATTTGTATACAGCACATTCACTACGCCGCCACCGTAGACGCACCGGCAGTTTCTTGTGACCTATATCAGAATATGTGTACAATCTGTAACCACGCAGAACTATTGTTCCAGGGATTTTCTCGAATGTGGTAGCATCAACGGATTACGATTCTTACGCGTTTCTCTACGAGTGTGACCGCGTCAGCAACAGCAGTCGCAGTGTATGTGAAGAACCGTACCTGTACGTTATGACGCGGGATCGGCCGGATATGGTGACCTCCACGGTGATAACGCGCATGTCGAAGGAGATCGATCGCATCCTGGGAAAGTACTGCTTCGACTCCTCGTACATGATGACACGCAAATGGTTCCCGGCGTTGGGCGAATGTCCAAACTACCAGCCTACCTTTGACTGTTACACGAAGCAATATAACGCCGCAAAATTTCTGGCTGGTACCGGACCCAGCAATGGACGCATGACACCGCGTCCACGTCCCTTCCGATTCTCATTTTTTGGTTAATGCTCATATACATATCTAACAACTTGTGGAAAATCAAATAGTCCAAGTTATATTTGGATACTGAGACATTTAAAACACTAGTATTTCCCACGACAAGTGAAGTGAGGAGCAGCAGAAATCTGTACTGTATAGGTTATACTGTATGCAAATGTTTATCTTCCGACTCTTCGAAAGATAAATTCACGACAAATGTCCTGGATAGTTGTTTAAAAATAAAATATGGTATTTTCGTTTCCGCACATTCTTTTACTTTAAGCAACTCAGTGCAATTTTGGTAGACACTCCTATTTTTTCGTGTCAAAAGATGCATTTAGTAAACTTACTGGCTGTTACACTGTCCTCTCATTTGGGGATCACCGGACAATTAATAACTCCGTTCGTGGTGTCTGTTGAAATATTAATTGATTTATCACGTAGAAGCCGACAACAGATATCATAGCGTAATTTGGTAAACAGCTTTCCAGACCCTCATCCAGTTATCCCTAACAGTAGAACGTCATCGACTGAATTTATTTCTATCCAAGTAAAACACAAAAGGAGCAAAAGGAGCATTTTTGCATGTAAAAATATTCTGTTTTATAGCAGCAACGGTCAGCATATCAATAAATTAATTACTCGAGGTTATTTTCTACAGTCGTTAATTTGACTTTGCAACTGTCTTTAATCTGTACGAGTACTGTTTTTATATCATTTACGCACAACACATTTTATTTTTATTTTTTTAATTCATAAGCAATTTTTCTTACTTTTTCTAATAATACTCATGTAAGTTTGTTTTTATTGCTAATATTTTTTTCCGTTTTTCCAATTATTAACTTTAATGTATGTTTTAAATAACGAATTTTAATCTATTTTTTTAATTTGTTTAATAATTTTAAGCGCTTTTTCCATATGCATGGTGCAAACTGGTATTTTCAGAAGTAACGAGGTAACACCTAACTGTGTCTTAGCGAACGGATGTTTTACTGCTGACAATGTAATTAGTATTGATTAACACATAAACTCCCATCAACAAACACGGTATTACTAGAATGACACAGTTCATCGAGCGCCGTTCAGGTGGACAGTGTAAACTGGCGGCAACAAATTACTCTTGGTTTAATTAAGCGCCAGCGCTGTGTGTCCGTATAAATCAGTTCATTATCCACGGTCCCAACGCGATGCGATTCTCCGGATACAGCATCTGATTCCATCCACCGGCGAACGTCACCCGGGTGGTTTTCAGCGATGGCGGCTCCGTTGTGGCCCCGGCTTTGCGTTGTTCTATACGTAAAACGGCAAAGAAAATTAATCGAGGGTAAAACAGCGGAAAAATTCTCCGTTAAAAGGCACAATGGGAAAAGCGGATGTTGACGATAGTTTTAATAAATTGTTTGTGCGACAAGTGCACTGCTCTGGCGGCGTTATGCAAGCGAGACAATCAAGCGCTGCTTACCGAGGAGTTGCAGCAAGGAATTCCAAAAGTTGTCGCTGTACGGTTGACCAGATGAGGACGGTTTGCGGGTACGCATACCGGTATTCTGGCGGAAATTAATAAGGGTTTTACCCAGTTCGCTGTTTTGTAAGGCCGTTTTGCGGATATCCTGCGAAATATATTAAAACTGTATAAAAAAAATAAATTAAAGAACCAAACTTATAAGAGCAGCAGAAAGTAGATCCGTACATACATTCAAAGCATTGCACTCATTTCAGTTGTATTTCGAAAAGGCTTTTATGGCTGAGAGATGAAGACGTTTCTGCTTTAGAAAGTTTGCAGCCGCGTATAGAAGTAATAATTCAACTAAAGCATGATAATTTAGAATACATTTGCATTTCATTGATTTCACATTTAGACGAGATTTAGGTATGAACACTGCACAAAATTTAATATTTGTACATTAACAACATGAAATAAATTTGCAAGAATAACTGTAATATTCAAAACCATTATTAGCAAAATCCTTTTAGCAATCTGTAAATAAAAAGTGACACTGACACCAAACAATATTAATTCAATAACGATAAAATAAGAATCACATAAAATAATGCAAATCTGACCTAATTATTATAATAAATGAAAGCAATAATAATAATAATAATAATAATACTGGCGGCGAAAGTACTCTCTTTTCGTCTTCGCAGACTTACTCGTTGGGCGATCGTTTCCTCCGTATCAAGCTGGCCTTCATCGAGCGGCGGCGACGGCATCGTAATCAGCCAACTCCGGCCAACGCTAACCACGACACACAACACCACCAGCGTCCACAGCACCTGAGCAGACATTGCAAAAAAGAGGGCCGGTAACGTTGCTGCAGCGTTCGACGATTCTTGACACTGGCTAAAAGCAGCAGCAAATGTCAATCACTTATACCCTGTCTAGATCGAGCAAATCCCACTGTGCCTCGAATTGCGCTGAGTGGATTAAAATGACGCTGCGCACCAGCGCATATATGTATGTTCCCTTCTCCGGGTGAACGCAGCCTCTTCCGGTAGCGGGCGGCCAGGAATGCCTAATCGAATCAAATGTACCTGTAAAACGGATGGGTGCGTTCCTAACACCCGGCAAGCGCAGCGATGGCGATCACCTCAGGGGACGGGGTTTGGTCATTAGTCACACAGAAATGTGTGTACTTGAGACATGAATGCAAAGCGGCTAGCGAGGAAAATGTATAAAAAGCGCAAAGAGTAAAATTCAGCAGAACCGGCAGTCGACGTAAGCGGAGACGACAAATATTAATCTCTATGGTAATTGGTATATAATGATGATTGTGTTATATGGATTATCCGTTTATTTGGGTTAGAAAACGGGATTTTGGTCGAGTTGCGACTTTAAGCAATGTTATTGCCGGTGTCGGTTTGCAGTGGGGATCAGTGTGTCATTTAGGGGATTGAACGCGTGGGTGCAATGGAAGGTGTGCATTGCTCAAATTAGTCGGTATGGGATAATCTGTTACATGCCGACGAACATAATCAAATATTTAATGCACCTAAATCATGCAACGCAGTATCTCGTCTTTCGGTGCCTGGTGTGTAACAGATTCTGCTGTTTCAGTGTACAGACTGTACGCTCAGTACACTGGATGATACAGTGAAAATCATAGCAATACATAAGCTGCGCATTTAACCCTTCTAGCGCTAATGGGTTGAGCCGTTTTCTTTAGCTACCCTGTTGCAGTTTTTATCTCACTATAATTCGAAACACGCTTCCGGTTCGGAAATCTCTAGTGTAAAGGATGTTGGATATGTACAGTGATTATTTCAAAAATTGTTCAGTATGTATTTGCTAACGGTTCAGTTTTCGTGGCTTGCCAAACCTCAAAACCTTAGAAATAGTGTACCCTTTTTTTTAACTTTATCTATAGGTTCATTAGTCAGACGTCTCCTTTCTACATGACTGTATCTGTACGTTCTGCATATCTACATAGTTATGCAACCAGTACAGTACCTCATGTGCCGCATTTTTTCACCCGGCTTTTCGTATGTAGACTGTCGAATCGAAGCAATTTATGTCTAACATTAGGTTTATGTTTATGCGGTACATATGTACAATGTAGGACGAAATGGTCGCATAGCCCCATACCCAGCATTCTGTACGCATGCGATGCAGTGCACTTGTACGAACCGGATATTTTGAACTCAGTCGTACAGTGCACTGCACTGCATTCGTACTGAATGTGGATATTTTGGGTATGCGACCATTTCGTCCTAAGCTGTACTTTATGCACTTCGGCTTTATGTTTATGCAGCACAGCTTTATTTTTATGTTTATGTTTATGAGAAAAAGCCTTATGTTTATGTTTATGTTTATGAGGTATATACCTAACCCTAATGGGGTCATTTTTGGGGAAAAAGGATTTTGAAATTTACTGAAAAAATGTTTTCAGAATGCCTTGTGCTGTCAAACCTTAACTTCGCTGCAGAACAGGTATTTCCATCTCTGTCTTTTCTACATAGACATATCTGAAATCAAAAAAGTTTGGCTAATGGCCATGGCTGCGATGAATGGGGTCAGCTTTTGGTCGCATTTTAACCGGCTCAGGCGTAGTTATCAGTACATACTTGCTAACCGGGGCTTAAAAAATAAACTGAAAACGCGTTACATGCCCTTCCGGAAACAAGAGCATAAGTGTACCCGCGATTTGAATGGACTGCGTAAAGTAACGTAGAAGAATTACGGCAAGACAGTGGCACTGGCTACTGATGACTTTATTAAGATAAAACCAAGTTACCACAGCAATAAACTGGCAAAATTTATTACCTCAGTTTAATTGGTTTATTAAATCAATTTATCACTGTTCTTTAAATATCAAAATAATCCCCAAATTTTCTTTCTATAACAATAATAAAGACTACTTAACTTAATAAAACTTAATAGTTACAATAGTTATAAAGGATTAAATGCAATACTAAATACATGTAAAAGGCACTTCTTTAATGTTAAACACAATGCATTAAACGGCTTTAATGTTTTGTATTCGTGATGGAAACTTTAACGATAGGTAGCGAAATAAAATAAGCGTTAACCAAATTACCAAAATACGACGGAATAACTCGTGAGAATCTACAGATAGGCTGCTCTTTTAACCCGCCATGCATCCAACGTTAATAGATATTTACAATTAGAAAGAACTAGTACTGCTGTCTTCTCATACAGTGTATGTACATTATATTCCAGTGGAATATGGTTTAAAACACCGGTCGGCCATAAAAACACCCACTGTTGTCGGAATTGTTTGACACATTTCAGCAAACATTTTCTGGGCAAATTCGAAACAAAAAGTAAAACGTTCATGCACTGCATGTACAGATAATTTACACCGGTTTACCAAAACTAAAAGCCGAATTTGTGACTCATTTAAATTGGAATCAAGCCGATCAAGAACTTATCTCTGCTCTTAAAGAAACCGGCTCTGTACATAGCGTTAGAAGGATGCATACGCTAAAACTTTCGATTTCGCGCACCCCGAATCACTTTTTTGTAACACTTTATCAAGGTAAAGATCTGTATTACAACGGAAACCCCGTACGATCTGGTCAGAATAAACCAAAAAATTAATCGAAAAACTGCTAACGCCATTCGATTCAGCATGTCTGGAAACTGTGTCACATGCATTTTGTTTTTGGTAATTATCCGCTCCGGCTCCCGTTGGCAAGCGCCGGTAGAGCTGGTAGAGCCGGTAGAGCTGGAAGCTCAAGGTGACCTTCAAAACAATTTCAAAGTCAGGTTGCATAGTGCACAAAATCAGTAAATTTAAACTGGCCGTACTTTTTCAGATCAGCAAATTAAAAAGATTTTACTGTAACTCCTACAAAAATTAAAAAAGCCAGGGCACACATCCCACTAGGTTAACGAGTGAAACGTTGTCTGAAACGTTTGCGCGCGCAACATCCGGTTGACGCGATATGGCCTAATAAAATGGGCCATAAGTTCACAGCACTTTCCCGTAATTTTAAAATAAATTTTAAATTTTTTTAAATTTATTTTAAAATCGGAAAAAAATGCTATGGATCAAATATTGGTTCGTGTCTTTTACGGCAAAGTTTCAGGAAGATCGGGTAATAACCAAACTTTTGGCACACAACAAAGCATTCAAACTTATCGCCCATTTTGTTAGGCCATATCTCGGCAACCGGATGTTGCGCTCGCAAACAGTTTTCGGACCAATGTATACAAATCATTTAGCTTCAAGAATGACATAAAGTATTACAAGAAGTGATTCGGAGTGCGCGAAAGCGAAAGCTTTAGTGTATGTGTCCCATTTTTGACACCAGGTACCGCGTAACAGTATGTACTTATCTATTAATTTCCGTATGGATGCTTAACTAAGCAAAAACAACGCCATCATTCACTGCCAGCTTACTGCACCGTGATATCTGAAACATAACCTCCAACGGCCGGTAGCAGAATAAACCGATCTACGCCAGCTTACAAATTTAAGAGTGTAAAACAACCGTGGTTTAAGCAAATCAAAGTAATCTGTATGGAAGTCACCACAGCGCGCGTTTGAAAGAATAGGCATTATATTTTGTTCTATGGCGCTCATAGGGAGCCTGTGCGACAGTGTGTGGGCAGGATTTAGTGTTGAATTGGCCAACATTCCGGTAAAAACCCGAGTGCCCATTAAGGATCCAAATTTGCAAGTATCCGAAGCAGCGTCGCTCAATCTCATCACTGGCCCTGCCAGCGACAGCAGTAATGAGGTGGTGCACCCGCGCGCGGCTATCGCTTTTGCCCCGGTCATCCCGACACTGGACGCTAATTTACCGAAAATTCCTGTACCGAATTTCAGGTCGGTCATGTTATTCAATAGAAAAAATAATTACGCTTGTCAGACATTAACTTAATCGAACAATCAGTATATTTTATCAAAATCGGAATATGTTATAATTACAGTACAAATTTAAAGTATTCGCAGTTGACTTTAGCTTTGTTAAATAAATTAGTTGGAAATAATATTATCATTCTTAAATTGCTTGAGTATTTGTATAATTTAGCTGTTGTTAGGCTAATTTGTAATTTTGTTGTGCTTTTAATTCGTTTTATTAGTAAATGTACGACTTATAATGCTTGAGAATTAAACCGGAAGAGATGCTCTCATTTTTGGCAGGCCATGCTCCTGTGAAGCAACAGTCCGGACCACCCCCTCCCCATCCACCATTAACGTGCCACCCCGCAACCGCCTAGCCCTTGAGCCATCCATCCGCGGCATGCAGGCCGGGCATCCACGCGGTGCTCCCCCGCGTACGGCCATCAAACCCATTCCCGGAAAGGGTGTCCACTGCAGTCTGCTGTTCGAGGACACATCAGGTCTGGACTGTCCCTGTCAGAACTGGGGCGAACGCTGTGGGCCACCGCGCTCCATCTGCGCCAATTTCTCCTCGGAGTTCTCGACGTGCATGTGCATTCTTGCAGAGTGTGCGCGAGGGGACCAAGTGCCAGCCGGCTGCCGTTAGTATCCCGGCGCGTGGAGCGGATTTCTGGATCTTTGCGCCGGCGCCGGTGGTGGAAGTGGGGTGTGATGCCGAGCCGTGTCAAATCGTTTCCGGAATTAACGTAATAACTTCCAAGCGAACACTGCTCTAGATAGCTGCCGGTTTTTAATGTTGATTTTATGCAAAAAATTTTTATTATTACCATTATTTTATTTAATTTCAATATTAGTTATTTATTGCTCATCAGGTTTTTAACTGATAAAGACTAAACTGATTTTAAATTTTGGAATTTATTCAATTATAGATTTTAAATAAAATCAGAATCTCCGTACTTAATTTAAACTAGATTCGTAGTCACATTTGATT